GTCTATTTCAACCAATGGTGCTAGAAATGTTCATTCAAAGATCTGCTGAAAATTTCACTGACAGGCCACTCAGTGTGCTATTATTGGACTAGAGCTTATTAACTGTAGCCCAGAGTCTCCAATTTTTGAAACAAACAGGCAGAAGGTAAAGGAAAACATTTCAAGTCTACTCACAGAGGCATACTTTACCAAATTGTTGCAAATAATAACCAACAATATAAAGAGGAAGGATCTCCCAATATCTGGAAAGCAACAGATTAAAATCAACACCATTCTAGACAAAATCCATAACAATTATTAGCATAATCGCTAGTTCACTTAGTAACTATATCTTGTCAGATACAGACCTGTGTGTGTTCACATATAGACACATGCAAGCAATTGAATAGATACCTAAATAACATTTGACTATGTAGTTACAAGTTGTCATAGAGATTCACATGAGATTGGATACAGATCTGAGAGTGTGGTGGGATACATACTTGTGTACTGTTGGACATAGGCCTAGGAAAGTTTGGATAATCCCAAAAAAGGCAATGCCACAGAGTGTTCAAACTACGGCACAATTGCACTCATCCCACACACTAGCAAAGTAAGTCTCAAAATTCTCCAAACCAGGCTTCAACAGTATGTGAACCACAAACTTCCCAATACTCAAGCTGGATTTAGGAAAGGGAGAGGAACTAGAGATCAAACAGCCAACATCCGTTGGATTATTGAAAAAGCAAGAGAGTTCCAGAGAGACATCTACTTCTGCTTTATGGACTACACCAAAGTATTTGACTGTGTGGATCACAACAAACTGTGGAAAATACTTCAGGAGATNGAGAAGACTCTTGAGAGTCCCTTGGACTGAAAGGAGACCAAACCAATCCATCCTAAAGGAAATCAGTCCTGCATATTCATTGGAATGACTGATGCTAAAGTTGAAGCTCGAATTCTTTGGCCACCTGATGTGAAGAACTGACTCATTTGAAAAGACCCTGATGCTGGGAAAGATTGAAGTCAGGAGGAGAAGGGGACGACAGAGGATGAGATGGTTGGATGGCATCACTGACTCAAGGGACATGAGTCTGAGTAAACTCCAGGAGTTGTTGATGGACAGGGAAGCCTGGCCTGCTGCAATTCATGGGGATTACAAAGAGTCGGACATGACTGAGAGACTGATCTGAACTGACTGATGTGCCTGTGACCTTTAGAAATGAGCTATAATTTACACCAGAAAAAGACACTGAATCTTCTCGGAGCTGTTCATTGAAAATGTGTCAGTAAATCAAATGCAAATAAGAGAGTCATCCTTTTCTATAAGAAAATGAAATTACAAGATTTGTATACACTCTATGGAGATAATTCCAAATTTTTGTTGAGACATCAGTGAATACTTTACAATATGTGTCTTATTCTGGATGAGAAAATATATTATTAAAACATGTAATTTTCATCAAAGCAAATATATAGTGTCACGGCAAGCTATATATAATTTTATGGGAAGTTTGCAAACTTTTCAAAATGAGCCTGATGTTTAGAACAGAAGGAGAAGGTAGCAAAGCAGGAGAGTGATGAGGAGGAGCAAGTTCCTCAGAATTCAGCCTTCTAAATGGTGTCATAACCTCACATAGTAAAAAGAAAATTGTCAAATAAACTGAAATTAATGATTATGTTGATAGATTATTTTACCTGTTTGGGAAAAATAGGCTTAAATATTTACCTATCACAAATAAAAGTAAATTCTAGATTGTTAATAAATAATTGAACTTTTCATTTCTTTTATTGAGGGGTAATTGACTTACAATGCTTTAGTTTTTGCTACATAGCAAAGTGACTCCATTATACATATATATATACACACAATATTCTTTTTCATATATTTTATATGGTGTTTTATCGCTTTATCACAGGACATTGACTGTTGTTCCCTGTGCCATACAGTAGGACCTTGTTGCCTGTACAATGCAAACATAATCATCTCCATCTGCTAATCCTAAACTCAGTCCATCCCTCTCCCAGATAACCCCTTGGCGACCACAAGCCAGCTCGCTGTGTCTTTAGTCTGTCTATTCTGTAGAAAAATTTATTTGTGCTATATTTTAGATTCCACGTATGAATGATATTGTATGCTATTTGTCTTTCTTTCTCTGACTTATTTTGGAATGATACTTTCTCTGTCCATCCATGTTTCTTCAAATGGCATTATACCATCAGTTGATTTTTTTTAAAAAAAGAGGTTAAAACTTAAAAATAATTGCTAGGAAATAAAACTTTTCAAAAGTAATGTGGTAGAAGAAATAAAAAGGAAAAATATGAAAATAAGAGCTATATATAAAACACTTAAAATTTAACATAAACAATAGAATAAATGTTTGTAAGAGATGTCAAAGAATAGTATTATTTGTAAGTATATTTGATGTAAAAAGAGTTAATCATAACCTTTTAGTAAAGATTCTCACTCCAATAGATCAATAATTCTGATAATTGACAAAATCTATAGAGTGGATTCTATGCCCCATATGCTGTGCAAGGAATAGAAAATAAAAAGACAGTTAGAACAATGTCCCTGATTTCAGGAAGCTTATAAACTAAGGAACATAGACAGTTAGCAAATATTTTTATTTTGTTACTTGAAATAACTACACAAGTTTGAAAATTAACTAAACATATGTCTTGGTATACATGGCCTGCTTTTATGGAACATCATAGACTAGAAGATTAAGCAATATGTATTTATTTTTCAGTGGTTTGGTGGCTAGGAAATCCAAGGTTAAGGTGCTGACAGGTGAGGTCCTGTCCCTAGGTCACATACAGCCTATTTTCTTTTTCTTTTTTTCCTGCGTCCTCACATGCCAAAGAGTTAAGTGAACTCTCTGATGTTTCTTTATAAGGGTGTCAATCCCGCTCATCAGGGTGAAACTTTTATGACCTACTCATTACCCAGAGGGCCCCCTCCCAATACCATCACATTAGAAAGGATTTGACTTACGATTTTGGAGAGGGAAATAAACTTTCAGTCTATAGCAACATCCCAAAGTGGAGAAATAAATTGCATAAGTTCTAATAAACCCAAAGGCTTGTTATTACTTGGTGATTAGTATTTTATTTGAGAAGACTTTGAGATAATAAAGGGCTTCCCTGATGGCGCGGATGGTAAAGAATCTGTGTGTAATTCAGGAGACACGGGTTTGATCCCAGGGNGGAGCGCAGAATGACCCCATAGGAGACGAGTAAGAGTGTAAAAATGGTCACACAGATCCCCCATCATTGGCAACCACTGTGAGGGCAGTAATGTGGGTGTCAGTGCAGGCAAGTTCTAACAAAGGATACGTATCACACCCAAAGTGGTCAATGACATTAGGGCCACAGAACGGAAGGTTGTAAAAAAAAAAAATAATATGAAGCAGAGCATGTAAAAACCCACCAACCCAAGCCAACAGCAGCATCAGAACACACACTCTGATTCATGATTGTCAAATAATGCAAAGGTTTGCAGATGGCCAGGTAGCAATCATAGGCCATGAAAACCAGGAGGAAAACCTCAGCACCACTAAATAGATGCTCTGTAAAAAGCTGGGTCATGCAAGCTTGAAATGAAATGGTTCTTTTCTCATAGAGTAAGTCTATAATTGTCTTTGGGGTGGTTGAAGTAGAATAAAAGGCATCCATAAATGATTAGTAGCCAAAAAAGAAGTACACAGGGGTGTCTAATGCTGGGCTGACCACAGTCAGGACAGTGAGCAGGCTGCCCACCATGGGCACAATGTAAATGAGCACGGACACAACAAATAAAATTTCCTGCCCTCGACACTCTGAGTGAGCCCCAAGAGGACAAACTCAGTTACATTTTTCCTTTGTTCCATAGGTTCTTCTGTATGTCTTATTCCAGAGTTCAGGACAGCATTATCTATAAATACAATTATTAACAGTGACTTTCTAAAATCTTACAACAATTTATTTTTTATTCAACAAACAGTCCTTGTGGTTTATTATGTTTGGGTACTTTCAGATATTATAATACAAGGCTGATTAAATCATCTTCCTTGACCACAAACTAATAGATAGGCAAGTAAATAAAAAAAAAAAAAATGTGGGAAAAGAACACTAAATGAGTGAAGCCCTGCAACTAATTTTCTATCTAGAATCTTTAAATTGTACATATAGCTAATATCTCAGACAAAAATAAAAGATTAGTAAAGTTTTAAAAAGAAGTAAAGCAAGATTTAATGTCCACTTCATAAAAGAGGTGACTTCCCTCCTTCTAGGGTTGGAAGAAACTTCTTAACCAATCAGTTAATCTCAAACAAGTATATCTGAACATTTCAAATAGTTTAAGAACTTAGGAAAGTATAACAAACACCAATGGACAAAATAGTCTGAACATACACATGTTAGATGATATGCACAGAGTTATTATCAAAAGTAAAGATCTGTAAGCAATTAACTAACAAAAGATAAAAATATGAAATAAATTAAAATGTCAACAAACAGAGGAAAAATGCCTCTGAATGACCAACAAACATATGATCGGATGCTGAAGCTCGTCTGTGAATAGAAAAGTAGGCCTTGAAGTCACAGCTTGCTTAGTACAGTATTTGCTTGAGTTCTTGGAAGTCAATCAGTCAAGATATATGGATGCTACCTCATCATTTAATTTTAACAGATTAGCATGCTATATTTAGAGAATATAAAAATTGAAAGTAGAGTCAGAGTTATAAAAACCTGAAATGAAAATACTGCCAAATCATTAACCTTGAAATTAATTTCTAAGAGTACTTTGTGGAAGGTGAATTTTTTTCAGATCATTAGAATATGAAATTATCCAAAAGGTGTATCACCAAATAGAATCAATTTTTACATATTTAATAATCATGAAGGAATCCTAACATGGCCGATTATGAAAATCACAAAGGAAAACTCTTAAAGGATTGAATTCTCACTCCACCAATGTACTCTTACAAAACAGAAAGCCTCATTAAGAATTTTGTGTCTGAATACACTTCCTGGGTTACCTGCAGAAGATGAAAGTTATTCAATCCATGTTCTGAGCTCTGGTGCCATCTCTTCAGTCCTTCATGCACTGATGCCATTAGTCCTTCATGCACTGATGCCATCTCTGGCAAAATAATGAGCAAGGTACATTCAGCATCACTGGATTTTGAGTCAATCTTGCAGGAAGTGTAATTCATCTCAGACATTCAGAAAAAAAAATACTTTTCAATTATTGGAATTTTCAAAATGAATATGAATGTCCTGTTACCTAAGGAACTCTGAGTCTTCATTGTGAAAAGAAGCTCAAAATGTTTACTATCATCAGAATTTGTCCTGATAACAAACAAATGTTAACTCACCATTTTAATCAGAGAGAGAGAGAGAGAGAGAGAGAGAACTTCACATTATGTAAGGATTGAGTAAAGCAAAAAGATTAATTTGCTGCTTGTGTCTATACTGGTGACAGTGAAAGGGACTTTGCAAAACTTCGATTCCCACTTATATTGTCCTGTCTTCAAACAGCATTGTTGAATTTTGGGTTTCCTGAAGGATGGGAATGATTTCATACATACACTTTATCATGTTCTGAGTCCATCATTTTAATTCTAGTAGGTCTGTCATGTGATTGCTACTGCAGACAAACACTCCTCAGGTTAAAGGCAAAGGGCTGTCAACACCTGGTCTGTATTTAACCGCAGTACATACAGGTGAGGCATTCAGTAGGTCCATCTCCAAGGGTGATTTTGGTCTAATTAAATTCATTGGAACATTAATCATAATTTTGAGGGTAGAGTCATTATCTCCAGAGATGGTACCAGAACTATCACCATGTGGAACAGGACTTAGAGAATCCTACCCTCTGGGGGAAAAAGCACAAAGTGTAAACTGAGACCATATCACCAAAAGGGAAAATCAAATCTGGACAGAAATGAAATATGTAAAAACTTCCTAGCTTAAATCAAACCTCAAAAATAGGCAAATATTTTTCTAAGTTTAAGCTTTGTCTTTGAAGATAATATCTGAATTTATTTCCAAATATTATTAATGCTAACTTCAGAATAAGTTATTTAAGGTTTATTTCAAATGCAGATAAAGGTTGTCATATGATTTCAGACAGACAAGTTGATAGAATCTGTTTTAGTATCAAAATGGTGAAAGAGAAAACATTTGTGGGGTTACTCCATTTATCTCAAAGTCCTCACGTGGACTTTGCCAAAGTAGGAAACACCCTAGGCTGTGACAGAAGTTGCTGTACATTTTTAAGGATTTAAATCATGCAGCACATATCTATATTTACATCATATATGTATATAGCATATATGTAAATATATACATATAAATAAAAGGAAAATATAACATTTTTCATTTACAAATTAAGCAATACAAGCCTAAAATTACCTGTGTAAATTTTCAGACATTTTCTACAGAAAGATAATGATACACATTATATAAAATAATCTATATTAAAGGTATCTAAAAAGCAGGACTTCCCAGGTGGTGCTAGTGGTAAAGAATTTGCCTCCCAGTACAAGAGTTGCAAGAGACGCTGGTTTGATCCCTGGGTCAGGAAGATCCCCTGGACTAAAAGATAGCAACCTGCTCCAGTATTGTTGCCTGGGAAATCTCATGGACAGAGGAGCTGCTGGGCTACAGTCCATGGGTCCATGGGGTCACAAAGAGTCAAACACGACCGAACACACATATCTAGAAAAAAATATATATATGTATCCATATATGTATACACACACACACACATAAAGGATAATATAATATGTATATATTGGCTGGATGCAACTAAAAGAGTGCTTAGAAAGAAATGTAGAGTTTTCCTTACATGCAAATATTAGAAAACAATAAATATTTTAAGAAATGAACTTAGCTTTTGTCTCAAGATACTAGAAAAGAAAAATTAAAATAAACCTAGAGAGGATTGTAGTTGGAAACAGCATTGAGAACACAGACATCATTTAAAGAGGAATTCATTAAAAATAATAAATCTACTTAAAACCAATAATTAGGTCTTTGAACTTTAAATCAATTGATACATTTCTAGCAAAATGTACTAAGGAAAAAAAAGAAAAGAAAGAATATACCAGAATCAGGATTGAAGAGAGGGGGAATCCCCTGATGGTCCAATAGTTAATAATCCACCTTACGGAGCAGGGCTGTGTGCGCAGTCGCTCAGTCGCGTCCGACTCTTTGCGACCCCATGGACTGTAGCCCGCCAGCCTCCTCTGTCCATGGGATTCTCCAGGCAAGAATGCTGGAGTGGGCTGCCATGCCCTCCTCCAGGGGATCTTCCCACCCAGGGATGGAACCCAGGACTCCCGCACCGCAGGCAGGTTCTTTACCGTCTGAGCCACCAGGGGAGCCCCAAAGTGCAGGGGATCTGGGTTCAATCCCTAGCTGGGGAACTAAGACCCCACACGTGTGTTTGCGCTAGTCGCTCAGGCATGTCCAACTCTCTGAGACACCATGGACTGTAGCCCACATGGCACCTCTGTCCCTGGGTTTTCCAGGCAGGAATCCTGGAGTGGATTTGGAGCAGATAAGTTCCAGCTGCAACTTCTGAGCCTGTGCGCTCAGAGAGTTGACACGCTGCAAAGAATGATCCTGCGTGAGACAACAGACATCCTGCAGGCGGAACTAAGACTGGATGCAGGGATATAAACGACATTTTGAAATAAATAAAATGGTTAAAACGGCAAATTTTAAACAAATATTGAAGAGAGAGCCATCACTCTCGATGCTAGAGATCTTAAAAAGATGATACAATGATATTACAAATGAATTCACAGATGTATACTTGCCAAGAAAAGAAAATGAAGCACTGCTATGAAAAAGACAACTTTCTAATCACACAGAGCGAAATAACTAAAAGCTGGGATAATCTAACATCTAAATAAATCAATGCTCAGAATTACTTTCCCCCTCAAAATGTCATTCTCATGTGGCTTTCATCAATCAGTTCTATAACAACTAATCCATAAATGGTACCAATCTTACATAAACACTTTCACAGAAGGGAGAAAACAGCATGCCCCCAGAATAACCCTTCACAGAGAAAGAAACAAGGGCATCACAAGGAAAATAATGAGATCAATTTCTCACATTAGCAAATACACAAAATCCTGAACATAATTCTTATTTTGATTCTGTTGGATACTTTCTTTTGGGATTATTTTTTAACTCGTTAGTATGGTTTTTGATTCACATCCTGAGAATGCTCAATCTAGGACTAATCATGTCCCACTACTGATGGAAAATCTTTCTGAGTATTCAACCAACAGCACTGTCCTTGTGAACAATGAGGTTTCCCAGCTGGTGAGAATAAACACTGTTCCAGGCCCAATGTGAGCTCCAAGCCTTCTGTAATCCATCTGGGTAAATCTCCCTCCAGCCTCAGGTATTTTCCTCAAATGCAAGGACAGATCAGTACTCTGATGAAACCTGAATAATGAATAATCTCTCTCTCTCTCCCACAACCCCCTCAAGACTCCAGAACTATAGTTGTATCCTCTGCATATTTTACTCTCATAAATTTAGCTGCCTGGGTGTCCTCAGACCCTGAACCTCCTATCTTCAACTCAGAAAGTCTATTGGGGTTTTATTTTTATGTATCCCTCTCCGTATGACAACATGAGACATTTTAAAAGTAATAAACAGGGAAACACTTGGAACTCAACTAAATTTCCATCTCTCAGTGATCACTGCCACTTAATTCTGGTATCTAGTACCTCAAACGGAGAAGGCAATGGCACCCCACTCCAGCACTCTTGCCTGGAAAATCCCATGGACGGAGGAGCCTGGTGGGCTGCAGCCCATGGGGTCGCTAAGAGTTGGACTCGACTGAGCGACTTCACTTTCACTTTTCACTTTCATGCATTGGAGAAGGAAATGGCAACCCACTCCAGTGTTCTTGCCTGGAGAATCCCAGGGACGAGAGAGCCTGGTGGGCTGCCGTCTCTGGGGTCACACAGTCAGCCACGACTGAGTGACTTAGCAGCAGCAGCAGCAGGACCTCAAAAATAATTATTTTCTATTTTTTTCTGAATCTGTTTGCTTGTTTCTTTAAAAGCTTACATGCATATTTTCAGTAATTTTAATCATAAGTTAATTTGGCTGGAAACAGGCAAAATATCTCTTAATCAAAAAAAGGTTAAAAGGACTGTGATACATCCACAAAAAGGAATGCTAATTGGCAATAAAATGAATAAACTATTGATAAACACAAGGATGTGCATAAATCTCAAATACGTAATACTATGAGAAAAATCCATATTTAAAAGAGTACAGACTAGGCATAATATTTACACAGAAAATACAGACAACTGAACCAAAATTGCTGGATCTAATAAATAAATCCAACAAATTTTCAGGGTACAAAGTCAACCTGCAAAAATGAGTTGCATTTACATATTTCACAATAAAATATATAAAAATAAAATTAAGAAACTAATCCCATTTAAAATAGTATCAATAAGCATAACATATATAGGAATAAAGTAAATAATGGAAGTAAAAGTCTGGTACACTGAAAAGTATATGACATCAGTGAAAGAAATTAAAGGAACAAAGAAGGATGCCCAATTGTCATGAATTGGAGTAAGAAAGAAAAATATTGTTAAAGTGGCCACACTATCCAAATCAAATGGAAAAGATCAGCAGTCAAAAAAATATATGAAGTTAATTTATAAGCAGTTCATGAAAAAGGAATATAAATGCCTTGAAACATGTGAAAAGATGCCCAAACAGATGACATTCTGACAATAACTATAAACGTCAAAATTTAAATACATAAAATAACTGACTAAACAGTTCCACTTCTTGGAACTCATATAGACAAAATTTTAAAAACTTCATCACAGAATTATTAAAAATTGAAAAAAACTGAAGAAAACATGAAAATGACCAGATGCATCAATTTTAGTGTAGTTGCATGAAAGAGTTAAGTAATGGGAACTAACTAGACTGAGTTAGGATCTAAGTAAACTGGCAGGCACAGATCTCCAGGAGGCTGTGCAGTAAAATGAAAAATGTATACACTGAAGCAGAAACACAAACACATAAATGAAAATATGCTTGTATTTGCAGATTATAAATTGAGGAATCTGAGAAAGAGAATATAGTGACTGCATCTGAAAGGACTAGAAGAATCTGGGTTATGATGGGGATAAGTTTTATTCTACATGACTTAATTTTGCATGAATTCCATTATTAGAATAGAATTTTTTCTTATTTAAAAAATTAAAATAAATATTATGCTAAAATTTCATATGAACACAAATGAAACTGAGGGAAAAAACATTCTATCCACACAATATATTTTAACTAGTACAATAAATAGAAAGATTAAAAAATAAGAACCTAACAATAAAAGCAAGAATAAGAAAAAATAAAAGTAAATACAAATTAATTTAAAATTAGTAACTATAAAAATTTCATTGACTAATTTGTGACATATTATTTATTGATTCCCTAGTTTAAATGTATGCTACCTTTCAAGATACAAAGATAAACTAAATATTAGTCAGTTTACATACCATCAGGGAATTGCTATTAATAAATAGCACGAACACATAATTTAATTATAATTGTCACTAATCTGTTAAAGAAATGCAAAGTATGTATCAAATTTATGAAGACTTTTACATTCTAAGGAGATTGGCCCTAATGCTGATTTACTAACTTCATAATGGATAATGCACTAATTTAAAACTTGGTCTGCCTTTTTTTCTCTCCAGAGCTTATTTATATAGCATTAGTCATTTCAGAATTTCTTAGACTGTAGATTAATGAGTTCAGTATGAGAATTACAACTGTATAAGATACACTTAATTATTTTTTAACAGGAAAGGTCTTACCAGATCTTCCATATATAAAACTACAAGAACAAAGAAGCAGACAACCACAGAGATGTGGGAACCACAGGTGTGAAGGGCTTTCTGCCTCCCTCCTGACGCGGGTTCTTCAGAGAGTACAGGATGACTCCATAGGCGATCAATAAGAGCAGAAACACAAAAGTGCAGATCAGTCCTCCATTGGCCAATACTAAGAGGCCAATAATATAGGTGTTAGTACATATCAGTTTCAATAAGGGTTTATGTTACACACAAAGTGATCAATGACTTTGGGGCCACAGAATGGGAACCCATAAATAGTGCTAAGTTGCATTACTGAGTGCAGGAAACCTTCAACCCAGGACACCACCAGCAGTAAAACACATACCCACAGCCCCGTGTATTTATGTCTATGAGTTCAAGGTCTTACTGAGAGTTTTAGTCATGATAATATGCAGGTGGCACACCACTGTCAAAATATAAAAAGAAAGAGTGAGGCCCAAGGGGACAAAATAAGAAATACTGTTCCTCAGTTCCATCTAGTCTGAACAGGAGCTGAGTTCACATACTAGAAGCAGTTAACCTACAAAACAAGGGGAAACACTTTTAAATGCATTATCAGTTCAGTTCAGTCGCTCAGACGTG